ATTTCACGCCGATGATGGTATGTATTCTGATGCCGATCATGATGTTGATGATGAGGCTGATGATTCTGTTGATGACGATTCTGGTGACGATGATGCTGACGATGATGATGATGGTGATGGCGATGGCGATGACGATGACGATGACGATGAAGGTGATGATGCTGCTGATGATTATGGTGGTGGTGGTGGTGATGATGTTGATGCTGATCATGATGATGAGGATGATGAGGATGATGAGGAGACAGATGATAATGATGATGATGCCCACGCCAATGATGATGATGAGGAGGATGATGATGATGATGATGATGATAAGTACGATGATGGCAAACATGTTGATGATGATGATTATGATGATGATGATGATCATGATCATGGTGATGATGATGATGATGATGATGATGATGATGATGATGATGATGGTGATGGTGATGGTGATGGTCACGATGATGACGACGACCACGATGATGATGAATCTCAAGATGATGATGATGATGATGATGATGATGATGATGCTGATGCTGATGCTGATGCTGATGCTGATGCTGATGCTGCTGCTGCTGATGCTGATGCTGATGCTGATGCTGATGGATGATGATGATGATGCTGATGATGATGATGTGATGATGATGATGATGATGATGAATGATGCTGATGATGATGATGATGATGATGATGATGACTGAAGATGATGATGAATGATGATGATTATGATGAGATGATGATGATGATGAGATGATGATGATGATGATGGTGATTATGCAGATGCGGATGCTGATGCTGATGCTGATGCCGATGTTGATGATGCTGACCGTGGCGAGGAGGAGGATGAGGATGAGGATGAGGAGGAGGTGGCGAGGCGGAGGCGGAGGGGAGCAGAGGAGGAGAGGAGGAGGAGGAGGAGGAGGGGAGGAGGAGAGGAGGGGAGGAGCAGGAGGAGGAGGAGGAAGAGGAGGAGGAGGAGGAGGAGGACAACAATAACCTCTACTGGGCAGGGGGGAGGAGGAGGACAATAAGAGCCTCCATCGTTACCAAGCCTCCACTGGGCAGGAGGACAGCAAAGAGGGAGGAGGAGGAGGATGAGGAGGAGGAAAAGGAGGAGGAGGTGGAGGAGGAGTCGGGGCGGGAGCAGCAGGGCTGAGCTGGTGGGGCCCTCCTCGCTTCGAGATCTGACCTTTTTTGGGTGACCAGCAGAGGCGAGTGGCTGCAGCTAGGCACGATTCGGCACATCGGCGACATATGCCGCCGCATGGTCGATAAATTGTCACATCGCATTTCGCCGAGCAGTCACACAAGCTGCAATCAGTCACCGATCAGTCACTGGCGGTCAGTTTCAAAGGACTACCCTGGGGGGCTGTTGAGGGCAGCAGAGGCCACCTCGGGGGGCTGTGTGTGCACAGCCCCATACCCTAGTGGACCAGTCTTTTGGGTGCACAAAGTTGGAGACCACTTTATGCATCCCGCCCAGCCTCTCGAACTCATCACGGTCCGGAACTTTGGCTTAGCGTGTCGTGCCTTCAGTTGTGGCCCCCAACGTTTCGGCGCGACACGCTAACCATTTCCTGGTGCTTAGGTATCAACGTCCTGGTGCCTTTCCCAGGGTCCCGCCCTGCGGAACGGAGCAGCGCGCCATCATCTTGCAGGCCAGGACGTGTCGCCGGGGCCGCCACCGCGATACGCTAAGCAGACATTCCTGACCGCACATTGCCTGAGTTGATGGTTTGACTGGTCGGATGCTCGCTGCGGCCCACTAGCCAGAACAAATGCGCAAGCCAGAGTATTGCCAAGGGGAGTCGCCACAGAAGGGGCGTTCTGGTCGCATCTGGTCGCTACGGGGAACGACCAACCATACACAGGCATGGGTCGGCTGCACACCAGACGGGGCTGGGGCGAGGATAAAGATCCGTTCCAGAGCGCTCTGGAACGGCCGCGACGCCCGCTACGTCCTCCAGAACCGCCGGACCTCAGAGACTCGCGAATGCTCCCCGAGCACCGCTGCTGGCCAGGCCGATCCGGGGGCCAGGACCGGTGCCTGCGCCCTGCGCCGCGGCGGGGCCGAGGAGGGGCCCGGCCAGCATCGGCGCGCTCGGTGTGCGGCCGGCGCCCTCCTCCTCCTCCTCCTCCTCCTCCTCCTCGTCCTCCTCCTCCTCCTCCTACCCTCCTCCTCCTCCATCCTCCCTCCCCCTCCTTCTCCTCCTCCTCCTCCTCCTCCTCCTCCTCCTCCTCTTCCTCCTCCTCCTCCTCCTCCAGAGGGCGGCCGGCACGCCCGCAGGCGCGCGTGGCGCCCGGCGGCGGCGGGGGCGCCCTCGCGCGCCGCCCTGGCGGCGGCCCTCGTGGCCTGCAGCTCCGCGGAGTGGGCCTTCAGCGCGCCCGCGCCGCGCTCGGCGGGGCCCCTGCCGGCGAGGCTCGGGGGGGGCACGGCGGGCGCTTCGGCGGCAGAGTCACGGGAACCCTGCGTGCCCTCGTAAGTCCGTCTCTCGGGTGCAGGAGCGTCGACTGGCGTCTGGCGGGCGAGGATTTGGCGCCCACTTGGCCTCGACGAGCGTCGATTTGGCGTCGGTCCGCGTCGGCAAGCGTCGACATCGATTGGCGTCGATATCGCAAGAGCCAACGAGATGGTATGGGAGGCTCCCGTGAGTTGCCACCGACAGGCCCGCGCCGCCTCGCGCTTGGCGGCGGCCCGGCGCGGGCCCGGCGAGGAGCCCGCTCCTCTGGGCCGGCCAGGGGTCGTTGAGCGCGTTGCGCTGCTCGCGTGCCTACGCTTAAGTCGGGCCTGTCCCCCTACAGAGGGATTTTCGACGAAAAATACAAAATACCCCCAAAATATAAAAAAATAGTACAAAAATAGTCTGGGGACTATTTTTTGGGTATTTCTTGACCTTTTTTGGGTATTTTTGGGGTATCTTTTATTTTTCGTCGAAAATCCCTCTGTAGGGGGACACGCCCAACACAAGCCTACGCGCAGACGTCCGAAGAGCACTGCTTTCGCCGATGTGATGGATCGCAGATCCCCAGCGGCGGAACCATGCCATTTGCGAGCAGTTACTTTGCGGGTGGCGGAGCGTGCTAGTCTAGTCTCTGGGGCGGTCAAGGAGGGGGGTGGATGGCTCCAGGGGTGGATCTCGTGGCTCTGGCCATGGTTTTATCGCCCTGGGTTGCATGGGCCCTTCTGCCCATCTCAGCATGTCCCCAGGCCCGCCCCCTGGGCCGCGCACATGCCTCGGGCCCTGTTTTACGACCCCCCCTCTTGGACGCCTCCGAGTTTCGGGCCCGAGGGCCTGCGGGAGGCTGGTAGAGCAAAGAGAGTATCAGTGTCACGCTGGCTGGCCGACCCCTTCATCGTGTTACTGTCGAAGAAGTGCCAGGCCCCTCGTGCACAAAAGCGGCTGGGTAACGCGCACGGCTTGGAAGGTGGCGTGCGTGTCGTTGATGTTCTTGATCGATCTCCCGAGAGGCAACCCGCGGTGCGGCATCCACGTGAAAAGTGGGGTCGGCAGCCTCTGGGGTTGGAAGCGGCCGGGGGGTCTACGCTGGATGGGCCACGAGAACATCGGTCAAGAAGGGGGACGAGGGCAAATCCGCTCAAACTCCGTTCCTGGACCTCTCCTGGGGTCGAAACCGACCTGCTTTTCGAGCTGCGTCCAGCCATGGCGACAAGGGGCCCCCTTTCTCCTCCCTTTTTCTACTGGCTCGACCTGCTGCTGGGCCACCTCAGCCCCTTAGCGGGTTCCAGACAAATCTGCATAAGCATACTTTCGGAACACCGCGCGGATTTTTTGGATCGGCGCTGGACGGACCCCCCCTCCCGCGCGCCAGGGACTGCGCTGGAGGTGCCGCAACGGGGGTCGCAGCGCCGATCCCAGGAATCCGCGCGGCGTTCCGAAAGTATCTTTATGCAGATCTTTCTTTTTCGAAACTCGCCAATCGATTGGCGCCAGGCCCCCGATTGCGGCACCGCGCGAGCCGGGGGCCTCTGGGAGCCGAGGGCGGTCGCGCTTGGGAGCGAGCGGCGCGGCGTGAGGGGGCCCGTGCCGACGCCGTCGCGGCGAGAACCCGCCGTGGGCCCGCATGGGAAATCGCAGATGTCCGTGGCGTGCTTCGAGGAGCAAGCCATGACATGAATATGTCAGTCAGCGTGGGCCCCAGGCAGTGATCTCTTGCAATCTGGGTGGTGCAATCAAGGTGGTGCAATCTAGGTGGTGCGAAGCAAAGCAGTGCAAACGCCATGCACCGCAATGCGAAGCGCTGCGACGCAATGTAATGCGGTGCAAACCAATGCGCAGCAATGCAGAGCAACGCAAATCAATGCACAGCAATGCAACACAACAAAGCAATGTAATGCGATGCGAAGCAATGCAAATCATGCAAATCATTGCGAAGCGATGGAAAGTAACGCAGAGCAGTGCAACGCGATGCAACGCAACGCAAAGTAATGCAACACAGTGCAAAGCGACGCAAAGCGAAACAAAGCAAAACAATGCAATGCAAAGCAAGGCAATGCAGAGCAATGCAAAGCAATGTAACGCAGTTCCAAGCAATGCGAATCAATGCAAAGCAATGCGAATCAATGCGAAGCAATGCAAAGCAACGCAACGCGGTCGCAATGCAGTGCGATTGTAACACAATGCAGAACAATGCAATACGATTGCAGTGCAATGCTTTCGCAGTGCAGTGCAACGCACACAACGCGATTTCACTGCAGTGCGGCTGCAATGCGACGAGCGGCGACGGGACGGTGGCGACGGGTGGCGACGGCGACAACCAGCGCGGCGACCGACACCCAGGCGCAACACCAGCGGCGACGGACGGGGGGCGACTGGCGGCGGCGGCGGCGACATCAAGCCGCCGGCCGGAACCGACACCCAGGCTCAAGCAGTGGCGAAGCGTCCTGGCTCGCCTACAGGCCAACCAAAGAATGTTCTCAGAACCACGAAATGTTCTTAGGACATTTCTGGCTGGGAGTGTCTTGTTTTAACACATAGGGTTTGTCTTCCAAGAATATTGTTTTGGTTCTTAGAACATTTTTGGGGTTCTAGGAACATTGCGTGGTAGGCCTATTGGAATGAATGCCGGGACGGTCGGTCCCTGCTCAACAGGCCCAGTTCCTTTGCTAGACCAAGCGAGCAGCCCTCAGTGCTCGGGCTTGACGCTGCAGTGCTCCTCGAGGGCACGGCGTGCGAGGCACCTCGGTGGCTTGTTGCCCGAGTCGCCGAGGTTGCCATCGTGCTGCGTCGTCCGCTCCCACGCCTCCTGTCCCTCGAAGATCCGCGAGCGCGCACCGCGACTCGCAAAGTGCCCATTTGCAAACGTCCGACCTGCTCCGACGAAACTTCAGTCGTGGATCCCCCGCGGCGGATCCAGGCCATTTGCGCGTAGTTGCTTTGCGAGCAGTGGAGCGCGCCCGCCTGAAAGAGGGAGCCAGGAGCCCGAAGTGCAGGCGCGGGCTGGGGGAATCCGCTCTCGCCCGCCCGCGCGCGGATTCTGCCCGGCCTGCGCGGAGGGCGCCCCTGGCCGGCGCGCCCGCCCTGGCGCCCGCTTTTTTCGGAAGGGGCGCCGATGCGAGGACTCCGCACGGGGAGCTCCGAAGCTCAGCACGCCTGTGCTTTTTTTTGTCCCTCGGCTCACCACAGCGGTCACGACAACGACCACGATGCCAACGATACTGACGATACCAATGGCACCAACGATAGCAACGACAAGGATAACGATGAAACGACGACGACGATGACGATCACGACAACGACGACGACAACGATACCGACGACACCAACGATGACGACGACGATCACGACGGCAACGTCAACGACGACAACGAGAACGGTAGCGAGAACGTTGCGATCGTTATCGTTGTCGCGTCTTGCGGCCAGCGGTCCTCTTTCTCGCCCAAGGAGGCCGACGGGCGTCGGCGGGGCGACCGCCCGCGGCGCCGCGGCCGCGGACGGCTCTGGCAGCCGGCCGCCCAGGCCGGTGCCGCTCTTCACCAGGGAGGACGCCTGGCGCGTGCACGCGGTCTTGGAGGGCCAAGCCTTAGGATGTTCCAACCTACTTTAGCCTCGATCACCAGAAAGAATTTCGAGCACCAAGAAAGTACCGAAACTCGAGGGTTTCCACGTGTCGGGTCCTGGGAGACACTCGTCCGACACTGTTTCGACACTCTTTCGGCACTTTTCCGGGTGCTCGAAATTATTTCTGGGATGTGGTCTTCAAGTACGATGGGAGCAACATAAGCCAAGCCCACACCTTCGGGGGTGACGATCGGGGGGGATAAGCGTAGGGATGTTCGAGGTTCGGGGTTCGAGGTTCGAGGTTTTCAGACGTTTTCGTCGGTGCTCGGCGGTCTTCCAACGTCGGGATGCGTTCCAGCGCCTGCGCCTCGCCGCGGGCGTTCCCGGGGTGTGGGGATCGTCCCGAATGGCCGCTGGAGAGCCGAGGTCTGGCCCGAAAAGAAGGGGCAACGGCAGGGGGTGATCGGCTCAGCGGGGGATGCCTCGACCCCCAATCGCCTATTGATCGCCGATAAGGGGCCTGATAGCCCCGCCCCGCCCAGGAAGGTGCGGTTTGGCCATCGGGGGCCCATCGCCGATCTGTCGGCGGTGCATCGCCGATTCCAGGTCGATGCATCCCCCCTATGCCAGGTCCCCCCCTATCGTTGCCCCTCATACCTGCTTCTAGAAGACCATCATCTGGGGCCGATGCCAAATGCCGTTCTCACGTCCTAGCCAAGAGCGTCTATGGACACATTGGGTGCCGTGACGTCCATAGACACTTTCGGGGTGGATACGTCTATGCACTCGTGGCCGTTGCGTTCGGCGCGGTGCAAGTTCGGAGAAAGGGTATATTCGTCTACGGTATGCTCCTGTTCTAGAGCAGGTCTCACTTGGTATTCCAAGCGCGGACCTTCACTCGAAGACGTAAAAACTGCGCAAGCACAAGCTGTCGGCGTTCCGCGCGGGTCTCTTGGATCATCGCCGGGCCCCCCTGGTGGCGCCTCCGGCGCTGTCCCTGGCGCGCCCCGCGCGCCAGGGGGAGGGGGGCCCAGCGCAGGTCCAAGAAGTCCGCGCGGAGCGCCGGACATTTCTGTTCATGGTGCTTATCAGCGGGCGAAGAGTGGCATGACATATTTTTTTCCGCCGTCGGGGACGCCTGTCTCTGGGCGGCTGGAAAGTTTATACCCCTACGGTGCCACCGTAAGGGTATAAACTTTCCAGCCGCCCTGGGACAGGCGCCCCCGACAGCGAAAAAGTTTGTTTTACACAGTCCTTCGCCCGTCAAGCTTTTTTGTTCCTCTACTCACGTTGCATCTTCGTGGGGCCTCGTCTGTTCCCAGGAAGCCCGTGCTGTCCGCGCTCGGGCTTCTGCGCGGTGCCTTGCTCCTCGTTCGCGTGCCCGGCGCGGGCCCAGTGCGGACTGCGGGCTCGACGTGGATGGGACGCGGACTCGACGGGTCCGACATGGATTCGACGCCGCTTTGGCACGGACGTCTGGCGCGGTGGGGCAGGCAGACGTCCCCCGAAGATGCCACACGAGGTCCTGGGCTTCGGCTGCACCGCCCACTACGCGGCGCGCTTCGCCCTCTACTTTGCGGGCCAGGCCGCGCCGTCGGTCGAAGAAGAACATCCAGCATGAGCAGAGTCCGCCACAAAGATAGATGCGCAGACACCCTCCAATGGATTGTTCCGGGGCCGCAGGGGAGGGCGGCGGTGTATACATCTCCATCGAGGGCCAGCGACTTTATACACCGCCACCCTACATGCAAAATTCGTCGGAGGGTGTCTGTGTGTATATTTATATATACAAGTGTGTATGCATGCATGCATTCATGTCTGTCTGGTTGTCTGTCTGTCTGTCTGTCTGTATATATGTGTGTATGTACGTATCTATTTATGTTAATATGTATATCACGTATGTATGCATGCATGTATGCATGTATGCATGTATGCATGTATGCATGTATGCATGTATGCATGCATGCATGCATGCATGTATGCATGTCTGCATGTCTGCATGTATGCATGTATGCATGTATGCATGTATGTATGTATGCATGTATGCATGTATGCATGTACGTACGTATGTATGTATGTATGTATGTATGTATGTATGTATGCATGCATGCATGTATGTATGTATGTATGCATGTATGCATAGGGGTGTGTGTATGTATGTATGCATGTATGCATGTATGCATATATATATATACATATGTATGTATGCATGTATGTACGTATGTATGTATGTATGTGTGTATGTATGTATGTATGTATGCATGTATGTGTGCATGCATGCATGTATGCATGCATGTATGTATGTATGCATGCATGCATGCATGCATGCCTGTCTGTCTGTCTGTATGTATGTATGTATGCATGTATATGTCTGTCTGCCTGCCTGTCTGTATGCGTGTATGCATGTATGCATGCATGTACGTATGTATGCATGCATGCATGCATGCATGCATCTATGCATACATGTATGTATGCATACATGCATGCATGTATGCATGCATGCATGTATGTATGTATGCATGTATGTGTGTATACATGTATGTATATACGTACGTACGTCTGTATGCAGGTTTGTACAATCTCATACAAGTGCACGTGCATGCACACATTCTAGATGTATATGTATGTTTGCACACGCATACACGTATATGTACATGTATATGAATGTATGTTTCCGTTTTATGTTAATGTACATGTATATGCGTATATACTGCGCGGCGGTCCTGGGTCCGGCCCTGGCCCCCGTGGCGGCGCGCCCCCGAGCCGCCCCTGGTGCGCCTCCAGCGCGCCAGAGAGGGGGGGTCGGGCGCAGAGCCAAGAGATCCGCGCTGCCCGCCGAGCGCTTCTATCCGTGCAGTTTGCCTTCTCTGGCCGGCGGGCCAGGGAGTCCGCAGAAGGCAGCGCCACGTCTGCCTGGCCAGGGCCCTCCTGGGCCCTGGGCCCCAATGGTCGGAGCACAGTCAGTCCGCACGGGAAGGATGGGCAGCCTTCCCAAGGGTATTCTCGCATCCCTGCCTCCTCGGTCCATCCTTGGCCACTCTCGTTGGCCGCGCCCCGCTCGAGAAGCTTCGAGATGGGCGTCCAATGCCCTTGCATCCTTATCGTGCGTCCTTATGATGCGGGTCGACTGTGCTGTAGACCCTCCTGGCCTCGGCCCAGAGCGCGTGTACACCGTGCCAGTGTCCACGACGGCCCTGGGCCAGGCACGGTGGTGCTGCACGGGTGCCCTCGGCGCAGCCCGTGCAGCCGCCGGGGCCCAGGAAGCAACCAGAGGCCCAGCTTGCCCAGACCAGCTGACCCCAGACCAAGAGCGGCACGGGCATCACCTTCAGAGCTCCGCGCGGATCTCTTTGGGTCGGTGCTGGCACCCCTCCCTTCACTCTTGGCGGCGCCTCCATCGCCGCCCCCCTCCCCCCCGCCGCGCAACGGGTGGTATGGTGTCGGAGGACGCGAAAAGTGGGGTGGGCGGGGGGCGATCAATGGGGGCGCAGCGATGGCTGCCGAGAAAGGGGCCTCGAGTGCCCGAAAAGGGCAACTTTCCTCCCCCCCATTTATCGCCCCCTCTTAGTTCGCGCCCGATGGTGGGGGGGTGGACTGAACAAATCAGGAGGGGAGAAAGCATAGTCACAATTCATCGTCGAATCCCAGGAACAAGTGGGACACTATGGGAAGTGGGCGGGCAGACCAGAGCACCCTGAAAACATGTGGGGAAAAATATGGGGCATCCCGGGATCAGTGCTTCTTTCCTTTGTGTGTGCCCCTGGGCCTCTTTGTGCAAAGCTGGGGGCCACAGGCGAGCCCTGCCCCCACCCCCCACGATCTCTGAGGGGGAGGGTGGGGTTCCCTTCGCTCGGAAGCCCTCCCGAGAATACGCCGTGAACCCCGCCCTCCCCCTCAGAAGTCGTGGAGGGGCAGGGGGCAGGGCTCGCCTGTGGCCCCCTAAACGCCTTCTGCTGGCCGTCTGGGGAGGCCCCGCCCCAGCGGGGCGGAGGAGG